TACCGGAGTTCGACGGCAGCGGTGACGTCGTCAGATGGCTGGAGCAGGCGACACAGCTGTGTGCCCTGCGTCGTGTGTCACTGGCCGCTGTCATACCCACACGCCTGAGGGACCAGGCGTACGAGGTGTGGGCCACCCTCTCCTCCACCGAGCAGCGGGATGCTGCAATCGTCCGCCAAAAACTGCATCGTGCATTTGCATTGGGACCCGACGCGGCTATGTATGAGCTGTATCACCGACGTCTACAACCGGGCGAGTCTGTGGATGCCTACCTGGGATCAGTCAAGCGGCTGATATCCCTCATAGGTTCAGTGTCCAACGAAGTGATGACGACGCACTTCCTGCAAGGTCTGCCGCCGGACGTGCGGCTAACAGTACGTAACAGTGCTGGAGATGAAACTCTCTCCTTGGAGCGAGCCGTCGCCGTCGCTAGGTCAACGTTGGCGATGGCGGCCAGGGAGAGAGCGACTGCATCGGTGGCTGTCGTCCAGCCGCCGCCATCATATGTACAGCAGCAGCGGGGAGCCAGAGGGACGGGTCGCCGTCCACCACTGCGGTGTTGGACCTGTAACCAGGTAGGCCACATCGCCCGGCTCTGCCCAAACGGGCACGGCGACGGCGCTACATCAGCGCCACGGGCTCCGCCGTCGCCAGCTGCCGCAGTGACCCAAGAGCCCCCATCATCGACATCAATGTAAATGGGCGCAAGTGCCGAGCACTCGTCGACACAGGGTGCAGCGAGACAGTGGTGTGGAAGGGCATGGTGTCCTGCTGGGAGCGGAGTGACGCCAGCTTGGTCGCTGTCAACGACAGCCCGGTGCTGTGCTGTGGGCGGGCTGTGGTCAGCCTTGGAGTGCGCGGGGCGACAGTGAGTGTGCGGGCGGTCGTCGTACCGGCCCGGTTGCTGGGCGTAGACGTGTTGCTGGGCATGACCGGCATTGACGCCCTGCAGGGCGTGAGTGTAAGTGGAGGATCCGTTCGCTTCGGGAGCGACAACCCAGTTGCGAGCGTCGACACGGCTGCTGTGGTGCAGCGTGAGGCCCCGCCGGAGCGGGAGGTGTGTCGAGCGGTTGACACGGCTGCTGTGGTGCAGCGTGAGGTCCCGCCGGAGCGGGAGGTGTGTCGAGCGGTCGACACGGCTACTGTGGTGCAGCGTGAGGCCCCGCCGGAGCGGGAGGTGTGTCGTGCGGTCGACACGGCTGCTGTGGTGCAGCGTGAGGTCCCGCCGGAGCGGGAGGTGTGTCGAGCGGTCGACACGGAGCCGGAGCTAAGGATTGACGAGACTGACTTCACGGCTGTGTTCGATGATGTGTGGACAGTCCGTTGGAAATGGGCCGGTGGCGTGGCTCCGCCCCCGCTTGGAAACTCGATAGCTCAGTACGGTGTGCCGAGTTGTGCGCGTGAAAAATTCGATGCAGAGCTGGCGCTGTGGATTAGTGAGGGCTGGCTGCGCGAATACGATGAGACGATGTACGGTCCCGCACAGGGATTGATCCCGTTGATGGTGGTTACTCAGGCAGCGAAGGACAAGGTGCGGCCGGTGTTAGATTATCGGGAACTCAATCAACACCTGACACGTCACACAGCCGACGCTGACGTCTGCGTGGAAGAGCTGCGAAGGTGGCGACGTCACGGACGCCGGGTCGCTGTCCTGGATCTGAAGAAAGCTTTTCTTCAGCTTCGTGTGGACCCGGCCCTGTGGCCGTACCAGACAGTCATCGTGCAAGGGCGGCGGTACTGCCTGACCAGGGTCGGCTTTGGGCTCAGTATCGCGCCTCTGATCATGAAGGCTGTGGTCAGGAAGGTGCTCGCACAGAGCCCCGGGTTGGCAGAGGCAGTGCTGCCTTACGCCGATGATCTGCTGGTCAACGAAGCGGTGGTCTCGGCTGATGAGGTTGCCGAGCACTTCGCTCGATTCGGGCTCACATGCAAGCCGCCGGAGCGGGTCGCGACCGGTGCACGTATGCTGGGCCTTCGTGTCGTCGAGAGCGACGGGCCGGCACTCCAGTGGAGTAGGGACGGGGAGTCACCAACGCAGGCTCCACCCGTGCTAACGCGGCGATCTGTCTTCGCGTGGGCCGGCCAGCTGACATCTCATGTGCCGGTCGCAGGCTGGCTGCGGCCGGCCGCTGCATGGATGAAGCGGACTGCCAACCGCCTCAGCCCGGACTGGGACACTCCGATCGTCAGCGAGGAACTACAACGTGAGGTGGATGAGGTGTCACGGCGGTTTCGAGCATGTGACCCGGCACGCGGCCAGTGGTGTGTGACAGGGACGAGCGTCGTGGTGTGGACCGACGCCAGCTCCATCGCCCGCGGTGTCGTGCTCACTGACCCTGACACGGGCGCCATCATCGAGGACGCGTCCTGGCTGCGTGCCGAATCGGAGAGGGACGTGCACATCAATATCTCAGAACTGGATGCCGCTCTCAACGGTGTCAACCTGGCGGTAGCATGGGGCTTCCGTCGCCTGACGCTCCGGACAGACTCGGTGACGGTGCACCGCTGGCTGAGTGACGCGCTGTCGGGTAAGGCAAGGCTGCGAACCAAGGCGCAGTCCGAAATGCTTATCCGACGGCGCGTGGCTGTTTTCCGTCAGCTCGTCATCGAGTACGAACTGGAGGTCACTATCGAGCTGGTCGCGTCAGCGGTCAACCGTGCTGATGAGGTGACGCGGGTGCCCAACGCCTGGCTGCAGACTGCCGACCAGCCAACCACTGATTCGTCCAAAGCACAACCGGTGGCTGTCGCTGCCATCACAAGTGCCTCAGCGAGTGACATCCGCACCATCCACGAAAACATCGGTCACCAAGGAGTGAGGAGAACGTTGTGGTACGCCCGACGTGAGCTGGGGGTGAGGCGGGTGTCAAAACCAGCTGTGCGAGACGTGGTCAGACGATGCCAGACGTGTGCCTCGATTGACCCGGCGCCGGAGCGCTGGCCCGGTGGGTCACTCGGAACAGAACGCACGTGGGATCGCCTGGCCATGGATGTCACCCACGTGCACGGCCACCCATACCTGACGCTGGTGGACTGCGGGCCGTCGAGGTACGCCATATGGCGACGGCTTCGCCGGGCAGGAGCTCTGGAGATTGTGAGTGAGCTGGAGAACGTGTTTCTAGAGCGTGGAGCCCCGGCGGAAATACTCACGGACAATGCGACAGAGTTCCGTGGCCGGGTCATGTTAGCGTTCGCGGCTCGCTGGGACGTATCCATCCGGTTCCGCGCTGCCTACGAGCCCGGCGGGAACGGCATCGTCGAGCGCCATCATCGTACCATCAAAGTGATGGTGGCCCGGCAGTCCTGCTCCGTTGCTGAAGCAGTCCATCGATACAACGTGACACCGAAGGATGGCAGTGACCCGGCCACAGCTCCAATCAACGGGGTGCTTCGACACCCTGGCCGAGACGTTGACGTGACGCCCCGCAGAACCTCAGACGAGCCTGGTGACGCCCTGCCGCTGAAGAAACCCGGTGTATACCAGGTAGGGGACAAGGTGTGGGTTCGGCGGCGGGGCGACCGATGTTTTGTAAAGTCAGACGAGGGTATTGTGACAGGCGTCGTTTCGGCCCAGACAATCGAAGTCGATAATGTCCCACGACATGTGCGAAACCTCCGACATCGGTTGACCGTCCCTGAATGTCCGAGGCCAGGGGCTCTGCGAGCGCCAACGGTGGAGTGGTCTGATGACAGCGAGTGTGATGGCGTGTGTGTGTCGCCAGCTCCGAGTGATGTGACGGAGTCGGACACGCGGCCGCCCAGCGTCGCTCAGTCCCCGGACCCCGATCCACCGACCGGGTCCGATGTGTCCGCAGACGAGAGTGAAACGTTCGTGCCTGCGACGCTGCGGCGTGGTACGCGTGTTCGAAGAGAGCCGGAAAGATATGGCGATGGTGTGCCAGAGGATGTAGTTGATGCGTTGATTGAATGACATGTAACATGTAGAGTAATGTGGTTCTTCAGAACCAGGGGGTGATGTAGCGTGACGCAAGGATGAATGTGAGCCGTATAAGTGTGAGTCAGCTTCAGCGTCGAGCTGTGAACCGGTGACCCAGCGTTGGTCATAGCCGCCGGCATCTGATGCCGGCAGGGCCGAGTTACACCCTGCAAGTAGCTGGGCCGGGCATGACGTATGGGAGCATGATTGGCTGGTTATGATGTGAGATATATGACGTATGACAGCGCGATTGGTTGGTGATGATGTGAGATGTGTGTCTGCGAGCTGTGGATGTGCCAGGAGGGGGATTGTGAGTTAGTTGGCTGGAAGGTGTAGAGGAGAGCAGAATAGATCTTCTTCTTGTGCTGGACGGTGACTTTTAAGTCAGTACGACAGATCGTCAAGGTAAATCAGATCGTACGTGAAATGATCGTATGAGATAAACATCGTACAGTCAAAATATGGTATTCATATGGTGCAACCCAACTCCAGCGCATACAAAGCTTATCAAATTTTGTGTTCATGTCGTAAGTGGCCGTCGTAAGCTCGACCATACATATGATGTTGTGTCAGAGCTTAGATGGCTCAATGGCGCATACCTGTTGTATTGTCACCAATTGTGTGCTGTGAAAAAAGCAATAGATTCAGCCCAACCTGAATATATGTCCGCAATCGCAAAGTTTACTCGCGCAGTTCATAGACCATCAAAATGACAACTGGGGACTAATTCAGGTATGACGTCACATGGTGGATAGTCATGCTGTTCCGGACGAATTAGTTTCGCAACTTTTGCGATTTACGCTCTTTATCCTACAATCAGTTACCTACAATATTATTCTATACGATTATTTACTTAAAAAACTTTTTTGTACGATCTTTTGTCGTACGATCTTTTACCTGACCCCTCTTCCCAACGACCCCCGTCTCCCTGACCTAACGCCGCCACTGCACCCCCGTCCTCTGTGACCTGACGCCGCCCCTGCTCCCCCGTCCTCTGTGACCTGACGCCGCCCCTGCTGCGCTCCGAGCCGTGCCCTGAGGCTGTGTCGGGTCGGACCGGCCGGCGGTGGCCGCTGGAGAGGCGAGGGAGCGGGTGTCTGGTGGCCGGGCCGGGCGGTGGGTGGCTGGGGCAGTGGAGTCGGAGCGTGTGCTGGTCGGTGACGCTGGTGGATAACCGGAGACGGTGAGGGACGCTGGTGGATAACCGGAGACGGTGAGGGACGCTGGTGGATAACCGGAGACGGTGAGGGACGCTGGTGGATAACGGGATACGGTGTGGGACGCTGGTGGATAACGGGAGACGGTGAGGGACGCTGGTGGATAACGGAATACGTTGAGGGACGCCGGTGGATAACGGGAGACGGTGATGGACGCTGGTGGATAACGGAAGACGGTGAGGGATGCTGGTGAATAACGGGAGACGGTGAGGGGGCTGCGCTGTACACAGCTGTTGCCGCCTTTTCTCTTCGCTTATAAAGGGTAGCCAACGAAAGTGTTCAAATCAGCCTGTTTAACTAGTAGTCAAGTAATGTTTAACTTTCATAGCTCGTGCACATTGATCGTTACAAATCCCTATCCGCAAAGCAGCTGTTTTCAAGGCTTCGCCACCGCTGTGATAATTATGCGTTTGTCCCCAACGCCCTCCTCACCCTACACACACATACAACAGAATAGCTGTTACAAATTGACCAGGCTGACTTTGGTCCGTCTGTGTTATGTCCAGCTACTGATAGCGTTATCCTTCTCTCTTCAGGATAACTCGACGACATGCTTCGATCGCCATCGGTGGTGGACGAGAGCGGCCATCGGTGGTGGACGAGGGACGCCATCGGTGGTGGACGAGGGAAGCCATCGGTGGTGGACCGCCATCGTCACCGCCGTGCTGACTGTACCAGAACAACAGCGGCGGACCGAGACAGCAGAGCGGCACCGGGCGGCCACTTCACAACGGGCGCGGTGAGAGGGGGAGGAAGGGGGGGGGGGTTAGTTAGACATACATGTAGTTAAGACTGTTTGACTGTATCAAGCATGATAAATGTAGCATTTACTTAAACCAAAAAGAATGTAAAAAAAAACTTTTTTTGGAAACCGAATGTTTTTTTTTGTTTCCGTTAGAACTTACCTATCATCAAATGGTTAATTAGTATTCATACTTGCTACAATCATGTACACTTCGTATACATCATCCGTAATATAAACCATACATTATAATGTTCGTAATGATGAGATGTTTCACTCCCTCTCTCTCTCCCTCTTTCTCTCTTTCTCCCTCTTTCTCTCTCCCTCTTTCTCTCTTTCTCCCTCTCTCTCTTTCTCCCTCTCTCTCCCTCCCTCTCTCTCCCTCTCTCTCTCTCCCTCTCTCTCTCTCTCTCTCTCTCTCTCTCTCTCTCTCTCTGTCTGTCTGTCTGTCTCTGTCTCTGTCTCTGTCTCTGTCTCTGTCTCCCTCTCTCTGTCTCTGTCTCTGTCTCTGTCTCTGTCTCTGTCTCTGTCTCCCTCTCTCTGTCTCCCTCTCTCTGTCTCTGTCTCTGTCTCTGTCTCCGTCTCCGTCTCCGTCTCCGTCTCCGTCTCCGTCTCCGTCTCCGTCTCCGTCTCCGTCTCCGTCTCCGTCTCCGTCTCCGTCTCCGTCTCCGTCTCCGTCTCCGTCTCTCTCTCTCTCTCTCTCTCTCTCTCTCTCTCTCTCTCTCTCTCTCTCTCTCTCTCTCTCTCTCTCTCTCTCTCTCTCTCTCTCTCTCTCTCTCTCTCTCTCTCTCTCTCTCTCTCTCTCTCTCTCTGGCTCACTTATCTTTCCTTCCCTCTCTCCCTCCCTCCCTCTCACCACTCTTGACTCCCTCTTCTCTCCTCCAACAGTATTCGTGTGGTTCAACTTCAGACTCAGTGGACCACCGTCCTCCGTCCGCCCGGTCCCAGTACTGATGGGCTTCGGACTACAGGACTACCGGCCCTCAGACTACAGGACTACCGTCCATCGGACTACAGGACTACACCGGCCCTCGGACTACAGGACTACCGGCCCTCGGACTACAGAACTGCGGGGTCTTCGGACTACAGGACTACACCGGCCCTCGGACTACAGGACAACCGGCCCTCGGACTACAGGACTACTGGCCCTCGGGCTACAGGACTACACCGGCCCTCGGACTACAGTACTACCAGCCCTCTGGACTACAGGACTACACCGGTCCCCGCACTACAGTACTACCGGCTCTCGGACTACAGCACCATCAGTGTTACGGTGGCTAACACGAAAATGGGAAATCAACGATCTCCTTGGAACACAAGGCAAGTCTGTGTTTTCAAATAAACTTATAATTTTAACCAGAACGGACGCACGTTATTGAAGTGGTATTAGTGTTTCAAAAACTATAAAAACGAGTTTATTAAATTTTAATGCCCTGCTAAATCCCTTATGCTGTAAGTTTTAGCCATATGCGAATCCAACAAGGTTTATGACTATTTTCTTAATTTGACGTGCCAGGTGTGACCCGTCTATTTGGCGTGATATTTGTGGCCGTCGATATTAAAGTAGTATATGTGTGACAGTCTATTTGACAAAGTATTTGTGAGCATCTATTGTCGTAGAATGTGTGAAGTGTGACTGTCTAATGGTCATGAAATGAGTGCAGCTCTGCAGAATGACTGTCTATTTGTCGTGGATTGTGTGCAGTGTGATCATCTAATTGTCGTACTATACGTGCCCGTCTATTTGTCGCGATATACGTGCCCGTCTATTTTTCGCGATATACGTGCCCGTCTATTTGTCGCGATATACGTGCCCGTCTATTTTTCGCGATATACGTGCCCGTCTATTTGTCGTGAAGTACGTGCCCGTCTATTTGTCGCGATATACGTGCCCGTCTATTTTTCGCGATATACGTGCCCGTCTATTTGTCATCGTGCTATGTGTGACCGACTAGGCACTAGCTGCCTTGGTGTGTATATGCCATTACGCGTTCATCTACTAGCATCTATATTCTATACATACTGCCTCCTTTGTGTTTAAGCTCCCGCTGTCCAGACCGATATTTCCCCCAAAATTCAAATTGTCATGGTCCATTCAGCACTGAGATAATACCGCTAGACCGCGCTCATGTAACAGAACAAAAAGTCAGCGAGCAGAGTAAACTATTTTCTCTGTACCTTACAGCTGCACTTTTGGTATAAGTAGTTGTATATTAGACGTTCTTGTGTAGTCGTCTAAAGCACTTCTGGTTGTGATGTTTCAAATCTGATAGAAAATCACTTTCAAATCTGATGAGAAAAACCATGCTGAAAACGTCTGCTCCCTGTGTTTGCCCGCAGGCGGAGGTGGCGCGCCCTCTGGTACCGTCCAGAGCGCGGATCGACCCACTGAACAAGGTGGAGCGCTCGCCGCTGCAGATGGCGCCACCGGGGCTGGCGAGCGACCTCCAGCAGCTGGCGCCGCCCTGGGTGGTGTTCGCCGCTGGCACAGATGGCAGCACCGTCGACTTATCCCCGGGTTCAGTGCATCTCAATCTCAAGCCGCTGAGCCGCCGCCTATTTCATCCCATCAACATAGTTCGTACTTCGCAGTGCCCTCTGTGAAACTCCCTTGGTATAGATGGCACCACCGTCGACTGGGTGCCGATGCCTGCGTGACTCGTGTTGACCTGCCGCGTTCTCTGAATCTGAGGCCTCAGCTCGCCTAGTGGGTGGTGTTTATCTGCTATAAGGGCTTATAGTATTATGTTATTATGTCCGCTTACAAACCCCGTCGTGGCGGAAACTCTCGCGTATCGATGTACTCGCGTCCCGATATCGTTGCCACGTCTACCCATGGCAAGGCCGGTTGTCCCAACCGGTGCATGTGTTGCCTGCATTTTGTGTGTACGACACGTGCGTTGACTGTATAGCCGTACCTCGCCGACTGTTGTTGAAATGTTATGTTGAAAGTGTCGTGCATGGTATGCTGGAGTGTGCTTCTTTAGTTACCGTCCGCCGCTCATCGATTTGATTCGTTTGGTCGGATGTTGGACTCTTGCTGCCGCGTGTGGGCACCGCATGGCTGCCGCCTTTTCACTGTCATCACCGTGTCGTTATCTACGCGAACGTTGAGAGCTTCACGTTGATGTGATGCGCGTCGTTGTTCGTTGTTTGACTTTCGACCATTGTTAGTCAGGATGTAGAGTCAGGTTCTTTGTGACTCGGAGCCGGGTGCCCCTGAGGTTTCCGGTGTATGCATGCCACCTATCAATGTTTGGCGCCGAAGAACTGCGATAGAAGAATGAATGTCGTTAAGAAAGCCTCTTTATAGGATTGATTTGATGTGCGGGTGTTCAGCTACTCAGCCCTGCCCTTGGACCTGCCAGCAGGCAATTGGTACGTGGATTGTCGGGTGTTATGGCAAATAAATTGCTGAAAACCATGGAATGTGTGGTCGGATGTGGTTGGGACACAGTGCGGACGGAGACAGAGACAAAACGTCTGATGGCGACACAAAAATAGACCTCGAGTGGCTAAAACACGAGTGTCTAGGACCGTAAAATGGAGAAAAAATTAGGGCGATGGAAGCTAATGCACTAAGGCTTCAGTATGTTTCAGCCGCAATAAGGCTGTCTACAACGTCAGGATCGAACCGGGATGGTCGGTAAGGCTTTCGCCGTAAAAGAAAGTGGGCGGGGCCTAGACGGCCGCAAAACTTAGATCTACATAAGGCACTTTCAGGTGCCCCAACGGGTTTGCCCTGGTGGCCGAGTGGTTAGCGTGACGTCAGCATGCATTTTAGACTTTCGAAGGTTTCGGGTTCGAGACCCGGAATCGCCCCTGATTACGGTAAATTTTTCCGTCCTAAACGGGCCTCGAACCCAAAACCTTCGAAAGTGTAAAATGCATGCTGACGTCACGCTATCCACTCGGCCACCAGGGTAAACCCGTTGGGGCACCTGGAAGCGCATTATGACGATCTCAGATTGGGGCCGTTTAGGCCCCGCCCAATTCTCTCTGTCGTCAGCCCAGCCTGTGTGACGTCACATCCACTACTGCCGTCGACTGTTTGGCTCTGTACGCGGGTCTCTCAGTCTCCCGAACCGTCTGACCATCGCTGAGAGGAGTTCCCACGCGACTTCCAGGACGTAAACACTCGAAAACACGTCGCTCGAGTCGCTCTTTGGATTGTATTGCAACATCTACAAATAAAAACATACAATAAGCAAAAGTGTTTTTCAGGGAAAGTCGGCGCCACGCAGCGGGGACGGATGGGGGGGGGGGGGCGTTTGGTATGCCACGGGCCGGGTCCGATTGATGAGCTTCCTTGCCGGGTGACGGACGGGTCGGCGCCGGCGGCAGTCGGCTCCTGGCAGCTAGACCGGCCCGCCGAGCCGATTGAACCCGGCAACGACCTCTGATGGCCGCGGGCGGTGACAGCCGCCGATCTGGGCAGTCTGGAAGTGAGTGGAGGTCGGTAAGGGGTGGGCACGCTGGGGGAGGGTAGGGACAAGAGAGGGAGGGAGGGTGCCACGGACTGACGAAATCGGAAATAAACAGCAGACAGGCCGGGGGAGGGGCTGTGATGCTGTACAGGGGAGGGAGCGTGCCTGGCGCAAGGGAAGCCTCGAGAGAAGTGGAGATGCGGCATTATGAACACGGGCATGGAATGTTGCACGTGTTTGCAAGCATGATGCAATACAAACTCAGCGTTCCTTCCCATAGGCTTTTGCACTCGTCATTCAGCTTTGTCGCTGTTGCACTTGCTACCCCAATCAGAATATCTACCATACTCGACTGATACCAACTAACATTTCCAAACTATCAGCTCATTACCATGCATCATGACCGGACTCCGCAATGTCAACAATAATGCGCAACTAATCAATCCTGATACACACTGACAAACTGCTGTATAATGTCAACGCACCCGCTACTGCCGCCACTGCTCACTGTTCACAGTCACTGTCACAGTTACCGCTCTCACAGCCACAAACATTCAACTTCGCACGATTACCTCATCTCGTATATTGTCTGATATTGCTTGGAAACTCTTCATTAGCTGCGAATCACCTGGTGCGATCAGCTGACAAGATTGGCAGAGACACCCATCGGTAGTATTCAGAACCTCAAGTTAATGCAAGTAGCGCCACCTATGCTCTGAACGGCCGAGCCCGATTTCCACTAGCTGCACATAACGCAGGCACCAAGCCATAGGGAGATCTTGTCGCTAGATGTCACTAGTGGTATATAGCGCCGGCTGTGGTACGTGTTATGGGCAGCTAGTGGAAATCGGGCTCGGCCGTTCGGAGCATAGGTGGCGCTGCTTGCATGAACTTGAGGTTCTGAATGCCGCCGATAGGTGTCTGCCTACCTAATCAGCTGATCGTTACCGGGTGATTCGCAGACAGTTGAAGCCGTTCCCAAGTATAATATCAGACAATAGGTGTGCAAGATAATGTTATATATAAGGGTTTAATTGTTTCAGTTGAATGCATGTTTGTGGCTGTGATGCGGTAACGGTGACAGAGACTGTGAGCAGTAAACAGTGGCGGCAGCCGGCAGATGCGTTGACATTTTACAGTGGTACCTATGTATTGATTGTTGCGCATCATTGTTGGCATTGCATAGTCGTCATCATTCATGGCAATGAGCTGATACCTGATAGTTTCGAAATGTAACCTGTGAGCAGTGAATGAGGGTAGGTAGTTTATTTGAGTAGCGAGTGCAGCAGTGACAGAGCCGAGTGACTATTGCAAAAGTAAGAGTGAGGGAGAGCTGCTTTTTATTGAATGGTGTTTGCAAACACGTGCAACATTTCATGCGTGTGATAATAATGCCGCCTCTCCACTTCCCTCGAGGCTCCTCTTGCGCCAGGCACGCTCCGTCCCCCGAACAGCATCACAATTCACAGCCCCTCCCCCAGCCCTTCTGCTGTCGTTATTTCGTCAATCCGTGGCACCCTCCCTCCCTCTCTTGTCCCTACCCTCCCCCGAGCGTGCCCACCACTTACCGATCTCCACTCACTTCCAGGCGGCCCAGATTGGCGGCTGCCACCGCCCGCGGCCATCAGAGGTCGTTGCCGGGTTCAATCGGCTCGGCGGGCCGGTCTAGCTGCCAGGAGCCGACTGCCGCCGGCGCCGACCCGTCCGTCACCCGGCAAGGAAGCTCATCAATCGGACCCGGCCCGTGGCACATCAAGCGCCCCCCCCCCCCTTCGTCCGTTACGTGGCTAACCGACTTTCCCCTGAAACCAAACACTTTCGCTCATTGTATGTTTTTATTTGTAGATGTCGCAATACAATCGGAAGTGTGACTTGAACGATGTGTTTTCGAGTGGTTACGTCCTGGAAGTCGGGTGGGAACTCTTACAGCGATGGTCAGACGATTCGGGAGACCGAAAGACCCGCTTACAGAGCCAAATAGTCCACGGCAGTAGTGGATGTGACGTCACACGGGCTGGGCTGACGACAGAGAGGAGTGGGCGGGACCTAAACGGCCCCAATCTGAGATCGGCATAATGCGCTTCCAGGTGCCCAGACGGGTTTACCCTGGTGGCCGAGTGGATAGCGTGACGTCAGCATGCATTTTACACTTTCGAAGGTTTTGGGTTGGAGGCCCGTTTAGGACGGAAAATTTACCGTAATCAGGGGCGATTCCGGGTCTCGAACCCGAAACCTTCGGGCTTCGAAAGTCTAAAATGCATGCTGACGTCACGCTAACCACTCGGCCACCAGGGCAAACCCGTTGGGGTACCTGTAAGTTCCTTATCCAGATCTCAGTTTAGGGGCCATTTAGGCTCCGCCCACTTCCTTTTACGGCGAATGCCTTACCGACCGCCCCGGTTTGATCGCGACATTTGGGACAGCCTTATTGGCGCCAAAATATACTGAAGCTTTAGTGCATCAGCTTCCACCGCCCTCAATTTTTCTCGTTTTGCGGGTCTAGATACTCGTGTTTTAGCCACTCCAGACCTATTCTTGTGACGCCATCAGACGTTTTGTCTCTTTCTCCGTCCGCACTGTGTCCCAACCACATCAGACCACACATTCCATGGTTTTCAGCAATTTATTTGCCATAACACTCGACAATCCACGCACCAATTGCCAGCTGGCAGGTCCAAGGGCAGTGCTGAGTAGCTGAACACCCGCACATCAAATCAATCCTACAAACAGGCTTTCTTCACGACATTCATTCTTCTATGCCTAACATTGATCGGTGGCATGCATACAGGGAAACATCAGGAGCACAGGGGTCCGAGTCACAAAGAACCTGACTCTACATCCTGACTACCAATGATCGAATGCCATACAACGAACAACGACGCGCATCACATGAACGTGAAGCTCTCAACGTTCGCGTAGATAACGACACGGTGATGACAGTGAAAAGGCGGCAGTCATGCGGTGCCCACACGTGGCAGCGACAGTGCACCATCCGACCAAACGCAATAAATGTTTAGATTAGCGGCGGGCGGTGATTAAATACGCTCACTGCAGCATACAATGGACGACACTTTCAACATTTCAACAGTCGGCGAGGTACGGCTATGCAGCCAACGCACGTGTCGTACATACAAAATGCAGTCAACACATGCACCGGTTGGGACAGCCGGCCTTGCCATGGGTAGACGTGGCAACGATATCGTGAAGCGAGTACATGGATACGCGAGAGTTTCCGCCACGACAGTGTTTGTGAGCGGACATAATAACATAACACTATAAGGCTCTTATAGCAGATAGACACCACCCACTAGGCGAGCTGAGGCCTCAGATTCAGAGAACGCGGCAGGGCAACACGAGTCACGCAGGCATCGGCACCCAGTCGACGGTGGTGCCATCTATTCCAAGGGAGAGTTTCACAGAGGGCACTGCGAAGTACGAACTATGTTGATGGTATGAAATAGGCGGCGGCTCAGCGGCTTGAGATGCACTGAGCCCGGGAATAAGTCGACGGTGCTGCCATCTGTGGCAGCGGTGGGCTCCACCGAGGGCGGCGCCAGCTGCTGGAGGTCGCTCGCCAGCCCCGGTGGCGCCATCTGTTGCGGCGAGCGCTCCACCTTGTTCAGTGGGTCGATCCGCGCTCTGGACTGGGCCAGAGGGCGCGCCACCTCCGCCTGTGGGCAAACACAGGGAGTGGGGTCGTCAGCCAATGGGTACTCATATTAGAGGCATATTTGAGAGTTTTGTGCAGGCATTGCCACGTAGGTCAGACTTGATCGCATACAAATTGGACATTGGCTATTTCAAAGAGCACCAATATGACGCACAGAAAAATAATTTAGACAGACGAATAGACAGTTACACATACCGCGTTAAACAGACGGCAATATACACCACGTCACATCAGTGGTCACACATCCCAAGTTTTTTTTTTCAAGCCCCACATTCTATCTCATAAATTTCCGGGAAGCACGAAATATTCCTTTCAAATGTGTCAAATCATCCGATCCTTATTGAATAAAGGTGTTCGTAGGCTTCTTCTGGCATTGCTTTATCTGCCAAGACAGATAAACATGAGAAAAAAACGAGTTACTGTACCCTTTTTGAAAGCTTCTATCCAACTCGTCTCAATTATCGAGAGAACAGATGTGGGGTTTGTACAAAAAAATGCATCGATATGTACAGCCCTCTGCAGACTGCGTGGTAGGTATTCTTTTTTCGACAAAACCGATAATCAGGGATGCGGAGCCGGAGCCGGAGTCGGAGCCGGAGCCGCCGGAGCCGGCATATTTTGCCCGGAGCCGGAGCCGGAGCCGGAGCCGTGAAACAATATAGCCCGGAGCCGGAGCCGGAGCCGGAGCCGCCAAAAAATGGGCGACTCCGGCTCCTTTTTATTTTTTGAAGAGGAAAACAAAATAATTGGTTTGACAGTACAAGGCAGTAAAACATATGGTACTTACGTCATGGGCCATCAAGTGACTGAAAAAAGCCGAACATCCCCAGTATCCCACAGTACGCATTCAACTTCCTGTCTGCTCCCCCCCCCCCCACGTCTACTGCATTCCCAGAACATGAGGACCGGTCATCAGGTGACGGCCATTGTTTTCAAGCCAGTGCAGTGGACTGCGACTCCCAGCACTGTCTCTTCCCACCCCCCCCCCCCGCCCCCCACCCCCCCACCCCCCCAATGCAGCCGAGACGGGTGTCAGCTTACGATGGTTCAATGAACTCCGATTCGCGGCGACTGCGTTTCCAATGCCATCGCTTCCTAGTCCTTTGTTCTGCCAGTTCTCTCCGAGGTGCGTTTGCGCGGGGACGCGGTGAGCCGGTCATGGCGAAGAGTAACGCGTATAACCATTCCAATTTTCTTCCACCCGTATTTAATTGATTGCATAATGCATAGGGGATGTACTGAGTCCGAGCCGGAGCCGCCGGAGCCGGAGCCGCCGGAGCCGGACCATTTTACTCGGAGCCGGAGCCGGAGCCGGAGTCGCCATAACATTTCACCCGGAGCCGGAGCCGGAGCCGGAGCCGATTTTTTCTCCGGAGCCGGAGCCGGAGCCGGAGCCGTCTGAAATTTCCACGGCTCCGCATCCCTGATTTATACCAGTATAACGCCTTTTGGGGCGACTAACGGAGCGAGCGAGAGGGTGGGCCTTGCACGTGCGAAATTTGGAGGGGATACCTCCAACTGACTTGTGCACGGCACCTTACTAACCGGTCTCTAGCGATGTGCCAAATTTGAGCACAATCGGCCCAGCCGTTCTCGAGATCTGGAAGCGGCACCCTGCACGTGCGCACGTGCAAAATGGGTCCCAACTGACTTGTGCACGGCACCCTACTAACTGGTCCCTAACCGTGTACCAAATTTGAGCGCCATCGGTCCAGCCGTTCTCGAGATCTGGAAACGACCCCTGCACGTGCGCACGTGCAGCAGCACCCCAACTCTGGCACATGGATATGCAGTGCCTAGTGGGTGCCTACCTACATGCCAACTTTCAGCGCAATCGGCCGAGTAGTTACCGAGATATTGCAACAATTACAAAACTGTTACCTCTTCGTTTTGCACGTGTCACCCACATGCATCGGGAATAGTCCAATACTTGGTAGAAGGAATGAAGCCA